CTCCCCTACACAAAGGAAGCGTTAAAACACACCCTCATTTACATGCAGGAAATTGGCTGCTACTGCTTTGCCTGGTCTGGTATGATTAGTAGCTTGTGGAAGCTAATTTGGCCCTGTGATAGACTGGTGACCTGGCGAGGGTGGACACCGCCTCTCACCCAGTGTCAGCTGGGATTGGTTCCAGCCCCCCCCCCGACCCTATCTATAGATAGATAGACAGATAGATAAGTGGGGAGGGGGCTAGTTTATATATACCTGTGGGGACAGAGCACTGGGCACACATTGCTTTGTGGGGACCGGAGTTTGGGCCCCATGACTAATTTGTTATATTTTAGAGCAAATGTCAACTTTGATTAAGGTTAGGGTAGGTCTCCTGGAAATGGCTCTAAGCTTATGTACACACTCTGTAAGTGATGACCACAAGGAGTGTGTGTGTATATGTGTGTACAGTACATCGCCCTTCATGGCAGTGATAATGTTGAGATTGTGTTCAAACTGTTTCAGTTGTGTGATCGCTGGTGAACTGTGCTGTGTTATAACCTACTGACAAGTGTTCCTATTATTTTGCAGACCTCCATTTATATTAACGAGGCTATGGGCTAATAAGAGAAACTCTCTGTATGATGCAGAACAAGCAACACAAACTACATGATCAACACAAAACCAGGCACAGCTGTAGCAAACACTACATGCCACACAAACAGAAAAAGTACTGTAGTAGATCCATTGATTGAACCAGTGTGAACCAGCATGTGCTGCCTGTTAAAGTGCTGTTTCTTCCATCCAGCTGGGCCTCATATGTTTACAACAGTGGTTTATCTTCCTGGGCGACCTTTGTTTTGCTCACAGGGCTAAAATCCAGGCGCTGTCAGACAGAAACAAGTCCTGCTTTTGTATTATACCCTATTGTGGCATTCATTGGCCTGCACTTAGAGAGCAGACTGTCCACTGTCCCAGCTCAGTGGCCAGTAAAGCTTTATTTGCAGCTTTAATCAAAAGGGGGATTTGC